AAAGCAGAGTAAGCAAGCACACAGTGCTTGAGCTGCACTGAATGGAGTGGCCCTTGGCTAGAGAGTGACTTCAGCAACATTACTTCACCTCTCTGAACGTCAGTTTCTCCCTCTGCTCAGTGTGGATGATAACAGTCTCTATCTCATAGACCTGCCGGAAGGACTGAGTTCACCCATGCAAGGTGTTGAACACCTGGCATGGGATGTGAACTGTAATTGTAATAAGTGCTACAGAAAACGGATGCATTTGCTGGTAAGAGTGGGAGACTTGGCCCATTTGGGGGTCCAGGAAGGTTTTTCTGAGGAAACGGCCTTTAAACTGAGACCCAACATATGAAGATAGAGAGAACATTCCAGACAATGGGAACAGCACGTGCAAAGAGCCTGAAGTCAGACACGTACCATTGTCCTTTCTCCTGTGGTAACCAGACTTTGAAAGTGGCCTAGTGATCCAGCCTGGTGTTCATGGCCGGTGTAATCTCTTTCCCTTGAGTGCAGGCTAAACCTAGTGATTTCCTTCTGATGAATAGAATACGGAGAAAGGGATAGGATACCACTTCTGTGATGGGTTACAAAAAACTGTGACTTCTCAATTCAAAAATGGGGGGGAAAAGGAAGACGAAAAAGGCAAGGGTACCTGCATAATCAACATTTGGATACCTAACCCTGAATTGTACCCCACATATTTAAAATAAATGATTTTTTAAAACCAACTAAAAAGGAAAAGAAACAAAACGAAACAAAACAAGACAGAAAGAAGCTGCTTTCCAAACAATTTGAAAAAGGGGGAATATCTATTTTATGAGTTAATGTAAAATTACCAGGAAGGTAAAGATTTACAAAAAACCTCTTTTCTACATAGAAACAATCTTCTAGGATCAAAACTTACATCTGGGTTGACTATATGCTATCAATGGTATACTTTTTTCTGATACCTTAAAAGGAAGAGTTTTCTCTCAGGCTGGGCATGGTGGCTCTTTGGGAGATGGAGGTGAGAGGATTGCCTGAGCCCAGGTGTTCAAGAGCAGCGTGGGCAACTTGGTGAGACCTCATCTCTACAATAAGTCAAATTTTAAAAAATTAGCCAGGCATGGAGGCACATGCCTGTAGATCCAGCTACTTGGAAGCCTGAATTAGAAGGATCACCTGAGCCTAGCAAGTTGAGGCTGCGGTAGCCGTGATTGTGCCCCTGCACGCCAGCCTGGGCAACAAAGTGAGATTCCAACTCAAAAAAAAAAAAGTTTCCTCTCCATTTCCTGCCCTCATACTACAGGGAGAGGAGGGGACTGTATCCTGCCCTGGGTCACTATCATGTTATTATTTGGGGGCCATGCAATTGAGATGCCTTATCTTGGACGCCTCTTGAATAAATGTAGTTATCTTTGCAAAACTAAACTGTGACTTCTGACTTGGTCACGCTGTCTTGTTGGCATTCTCTCTGGCCCTCTCACTTGCTCGCTATCACATTGTAAGATGCTCCGGGGAGAGGCCCACATGACAAGGAGCCCAGGGACACCTCAGAGAACATCCCAAAAGGAACCAAATCCTGCCAACAACCACATGAAGGGGCTTGGAGCAGATCCCAGTTGACACTTGAGAGAACTGCAGCCCTGGCTGACACCTTGACTGCTGTTTGTGAGACCCTCTAGCCAAGCGTTGTCTGATTCCTGACCTACAGAAATATGTGTGTGTTGTCTTAAGCTGCTAAGTAACTTGTAATGCAGCAGGAGATAACTAAGACACCTCCAAAATGAAGCGGGGTTAGTAGAAGGACAAGGAAGGACTAAGATCAGACAGAGATAACTGTCTGGGAATCGGAGAATCACAGATCTCCCGGGGAGGTAGGGACTTAATGTCTTCCTATTGCTCTATCTAATGCTAGAATCTGTCAGCCGCTGTTGCCATAGCTGTGGGTGACAGGGAGCTTTCTCCTAAGGGACTCCTAACCACTGTCAAATATTTGAAGATAATGATTCTCTTCCAGGTTGAACCTGCACACTCCTCTCAGATGCTGCTCACATGGTAGGGTTTGAGTATTAGGACACTTGAAATCCACCGTCTTCGGGATCGCTGAAACCCAACAGTGGACACAGCCCTCAGGAGTGTCTGCCTAGCTGTGCCAGTTAGGACTCTATCCAGACTAATTTAAGCAAAAAAGGAAATTGTTGGCTCACAATGGCTTCAGGCCTGGCTGGATCCAGGTGCTCCAATTGTATTGTCAGGCTCCATTTCCTTTGTGATGATTCCATTTTTAGACTCTTTTAACAGAGACTAAAATCTTTAGAAACTCAGCTTCATAACCTCTCAGGTTCTGATCCAGATGGAAAGAGTATCTGCCATTCTTTCAGCATTCCTGAAAAAGTTTCACTGATTCTCTTCAGTTCATGGCTGTGTGGCCTCTTCAGAGCCAGTCACTGTGGTCAGGAAGTTAGAACAGCCCAGAAGACCACAGACGGGGCCTACTCCATTGATACCAAATAGACTCAGAGTGAGAAGGGCTGATTCTCTAAAGGAAAACCAAGAATATCATCACAGGGGAAGAATGCATGGATGGCTGGGCAGCAGAATGATATGTTTCCACCTCGGCAATTAAAAGCAGAATGAAAAATCACCTCCCTCATTCTAGACCACGAACTTCTCTTAATGCAGCCCAGGGCCACATCTTCCCCACACACTGATGACTCACACCAGATCTCAAGGATAAGGATGTTTTTCCTTATCCACTGCTGCTTGGCTTTATCTCCCCCCTATCCTACCATATTAGGGATGCAAAGATGCAGGTGGGTGCCCCTTTCCACCTCTGTCCCAAGCTCAGTGAGGCTTCTAGGAGCACGGAGACAAACAAGATGAGGCCTGTGTCCCCCTCCAGCTTCCCTGAGTCATCACCCTCCCTCCCCCCACAGAGTCAGAGCTATTCCAGAGAGACAACTGAGGCCCAGAACCAACTGTACTGCCAAAATGGATGGCACAAACCCAGGGGCAGACCCAATACTTTCAGGGCAAAACAAGCCCCACTGTCTCTTTACATAGTGGACAGGCAACTGCCTGATTTATTGGAAACCAGGGATTTGGTGTATAATGCGTGCATATGTAAATAACATAACAAAATCTGCCCAATGCCCAAAGAGCTCTCCGTCTCCAAGGACGCCAGACACAGCGAAATTTCTGAGATCTTGGATCTAAAGTCAGAGGATGTTTGGATGTGACCCTCGAATGTTAGTATAGTCTGATCATTTGGCAGATAAGTAAACTGAGGCCTAGAGGAGCCCTGGTGTGTAACCACCCAGGGTCATACAGCAAGTGAGTGGCAGGGTGACCATCGGAATTCAGTTCACCTCTCCCGCCATTGGGTGTTTTTACTTGAGTGAGCACGCAGCTTCCAGGGTGGTGAAAGATTTTTTACTTCCATTTTGTGTTCGGCTCTAGTAGAAGGTGGGGCTGGGAAGGGAGGAACAGCTCAGGGCATTACCCCCATTTACTCATCTGACAAATATTCATTAAGTGCCAACTACATACAAACTTGGCTCTGTGCTGGGGGCCGGAGACACAATTCGGGGAAGAAGGGCAATGACTGGTCTTGGAGTTTCCAGTGGGAAAGATTGGCAGAGATGTCCACCCTAGAATCACATGAGTTCTTACATATTACAGGCACAGAAAGTGCCAGGGAGGGAGAGTACATAATGTTTACTCCACAGGCGTCCAGGGACATGGGGGTCAGGACCGGTCCCCAGAGGAAGTGAGGGCTGAGCTAGGAAAACATTTCCACAGGAGCTTACAGTAAAGGCTGCGAGGACATCCTGTCCACCCGCCCACCACCTCAGCGAGCTCCGCGGCAGCCGGCATTTCCTAAGCTCGCCCAGAACGTTCAGTAACCCAGTAACCGCTTCCCCTCTCCAGGATGACACACTTCGGGCATTCCCAGGATCTAAGACTGTTACAGGCAGCTAGACACGTGCAGGGGAGGCAGGATGTGCCTCCCCAGGGAGGAATTTGGACACCACCTTGGCTCTTCCCCTCAGCGTCCACAGGGAGGAACTTTCTGTGGGGTTTTCCCTCCCAAATGTCCTAAGGCCATGCCAACTTTCCTACCTGCTGCTTTCTCTCCAAGCTGGAACTCCTTTCCCTTCTGGCCTGGCCCATATCTTCTTGCCCTCAGGCCCCCGGCAACAGCCCAACTCCCAGACCACCTCCTCCCAGCTGGACAGGGTCTTTTCCTCTCTGCTCCCCCACCTCTGAGCTTCTTGATCTCTGTCCCTTTGCGTTGGCCAGATCTTCCTGGTGCCAGGTGGAATCACCATGCTCTGCCACTCTAGCTCGGTGACCTGGAGCAAGTTACTTGGCTGGACCTCCACTTCCTCCTCTCTAAAATGGGAATAGTGAGGTTGGGGTGGGGGGCGGCAGTGACACACGCCTGGAATCCCAGCGCTTTGGGAGGCTGAGGCAGAAGGATCGCTTGAGCCCAGGCGTTCGAGACCGGCCTGGGCAACATCGTGAAACCTCGGGTCTGCAAAATAATTTTTAAAGAGAGAGAGAGAGAAATGCGTAGAGAAGTGACAGCTCACGCATAACGTGCTTACTACAGTCCCTGCTGCACACGAAAGCCCTCGAGCTACGACAGATGTGCCCTTAATAACTACCCCCCAGTTTAACGCGATGTGGCACAACGATGAAGCCTTGACTGCTCCAAGGGCCAGCGGAATCCCTAGACCCGCGCCCTGTCGGGGCTCGGGTTCGAGCACAGGACGGGCGGGAAGGCAGCCGTGCACTCGGGGAGGGCGGGGCGCAGAGCGAG